CGAGTCGATCGATTGCCTTTTTGTCGTAGACGTTGTGCAACGCTCTGCTATCCACGAGTGCTTGGAGGCGCTGTCCGTTGCAGATCACCTCGAGCAGGAGTGGTGAGCGTTGCTCGGAGTACCCAAAAATAGTTTCATTAATAGGATCATAGGGTACATCCCAATATTCAGTCCACATAGTGGTTCCACTGCTTGCTCCTGGACTAACAGCTGGCCTGGGCTGCGTGGAGAAAGGCTCCTCTCCAACGCCAGGAGTAGTGGTAGTTACCGTGGTGGTTGACCCTGAGGGGCCGACGCCTGTGATCCACTTGATGCATCCGGGAGCGGTTTTTGGAGTTTTCGCAGCTTCATTTCAACTCCCAGCTGCCTCCTCAGCTGCTTCAGCTCCATAGACTTCTTCCCTGGGGAGCAGAGAGTCGTCTTGGGCTGGTTCCGGGAGAAGACGTTGACGCCGTGGAAAGGCCTGCTCCTTCCCACACTCCTTAATTTCTTCCCCAGCTCCGTAGGTACCGGTACCATTTCTTTAATTAACTGTTTCTTCTGGAGTTCTTCCCGGATTTTTTTGATGGCTCCGGACCCGCGAAATCACCAGCCTTCATTAAAGCATCTTTGAAAGATAACTTTAACGAATTCTGTTTTTTTCCGGGGTCGAATTGGAGAGTTCCCGTCTTGGTCGAGTCTGTTTTCGCGGAGGTCTTCTTTTCCTCAGCGAATCCCTCTGACAAATTTCGGTCCAACGGCTTAGGATTTCGCCCTGGATTCTCCAAATCTCGCGCCCAATGCTGTCCTTCAATTTTGATTTGGTCAAGATTGCGCTGACGCTTTCGGATCTGCTTTTCCTCGCCAGCACGATCCGCAATCACTGGCAAGATCCGTTTTTTGACTTTTTGTCTTTAGTTTCGCCACTCCCTCGAGCTCGGAATGCCGCACGTGCAGATTTCATGTGGAAACAGTCGACAATCCGATGTCCGTTTCCGCCGCAAAAATCGCAAATCGTTTTGTTTTTTGCAGGTCGTGACTTTGCGTCGAATTTGTCGACTTCCATGGGGTTGGCAAACGTGGTTGAAGCCGAGCGATCCCCTTGTCGTGATCCGACGACGTTGGGTTGTCGTGTTCCGTTGTTGACCAGGTCGAATCGCTCCGCGGCCGATATGATTTCGCTGTAGCTGCTGCAATTCGCTGCTGCAACCTGGCGACGAATGTCGTTTTTCAGCCCCGCGATGTAGGACTGAATTTTTTCACCCTCGGTAATGTCGCGAACGCGATTGTAAAATTCTTCCATCTGCTGCGTGTATTGCGCGACACTCCAGTATTGCCGGTGGTGATGTAATTTTTCGCGTGCAATGTAAGTAGAATTAATCGGCTCAAAACGTTTGAGAAGGTCTGCCCGGAACTGCTGCCATGTGGCTTCGCCCTGGAAAATTCTACTGTTGCTTCCGAGCCACTCGAGAGCTGGACCGCGCATTAACGTTGTCGCGAGACGAATTTTCTCGCCGTCGTACTCCGTCGTCGACCATCCGATCGCCGCGAAATAAATTTCGATCGTTGCGAGCCATCGCTTGACGTCGGATTTCCGATCGCTGGGGTCGAACGAATCCGGCGAGCGAAGTTTCGGAACCTCAAAGTGACGCTGCGACTGCTGCGAAGTCGCCGAAGCAGGAATGTTCATGGTCGTGAGGAGTTGCGTAACGCGCTGCAGTTCGTTTCGCAGCTGCTCGTTCTCCAATCGCGATTGTGCGGTCGTCGCTCGCATCTCCGCTTCCATCTTGGCGATTTGCGCGAAGAGCTGCTGCGTAACGTCGTTGGTCGCCGACGAACCCATCCTGTTCAGAAACCACGCGGGGGGGTTAATTTGAAATTCGCGGAACTGGTGCTTACCAGAAATCGGCGTCGAATTGGTCGCCCCCGGCGGTTTTTCGAGGCGATTTTTTCCGCGACCGCTGCTTAGCCGAGAGTTGTCGAGTGAGAACGGCTCTGATTACCAAGTGTCACAGGATCGAATTCTCATTCGAAAACGTGTCACTAAAATTGAATGCAAGGCGTTTTTAGACTCGGAAATTACAAGGATAATGAGATAAGACGAACATTCGGGAACACACCCTTTCCCGATGCCACAATCACAAGTGCGCACAAGCACACAAGGCTATTGGCACTTGGGATTACGCCCAGATTACACCGTATACACCACTGTCGGCGCTGGCGGTGCCGTATAGTAAATGTGTCGGTGGGAAAAATAGGAAATAAGTGAAATAAAGAGAAGGCTCTAGAAAATAGAATAGTAGGCCGATTGAGATGAAATAAAGACCAGAATAAAGAGGAGAAAAATTAGAATAAGATAAAGAGAAAATATAATAATGAGAAATATAATAACGGGAACGTCCTCTCACAAAGGGTGTAGGTGTGGCGGATGCCATGGGCGGTGCAATAGGATGACAGTGTGTGATTGAGAAACTCACCACCGCCGTCTGAGTGGAGACGACGGATGGGTCGGTTAAAGTGGTTGGCAGCTTGAGTGGCCCATGCAATGATGGCAGCAGGGGCTTCACCTTTAGTGCGTAGGAGTGATACCGAGGAGTATCGGCTGTAATCATCCACAAGGATGAGAAGGTATCTATGGCCCTGACGTGTAGGGGACGGGTTAGGACCCCAGAGGTCCATATGAACTAGGTCGAGAGGGGCAGGGGAGAAAGTGGGATGGCTGGGGTGAGGGTGTTGCTTGAGTTTGCTTTTGGCACACACCGTGCACGGTTGGGCCGGGGAAGGGGGGAGGGGGGGAAGGGTAGAAGGGAGACCTTTGAGGAGGGATGAGGACACGGTTTTGCGAAGGGTGGCGAAGTTGGGGTGGCCAAGGCGATGGTGTAAGAGGATGGCAGGGTGGGTGAGTTCTCGACAGGAGCACGGAGAGGGGACAGGAGTGGAGGAGGGGAGGGTGGGAGGGACGGGGGAGGTCGTGGCGAAGACTTGGGGTGCAGGGGAACGGGGAGTGCGGAAGGTGTACATGCAAGTGATGGGACACATAGGAATCCGGGAAATGAAGCGGCCGGAGGTGGAGTGAAATAGGTCACAGTGAGATGCATAACCGGGGAAGATGGTGGTGATACCTGCATGTTGAAGGGCACCTTGGGAAATGAGGTTGTGACGGAGGGAGGGGATGTGGAGGCCGGACACTGTACCAGATGGGAATAGGGGACAAGGGAGAGTGGATGAGTGATGACTTTGGACGGTAAATGTGGAGTCGGCACCATGAATAGTGGAGGGAGTGGAGAGGGGAGTGAGGGTTCCAGCGTCACGAAGAACGGTGTGGGAGGCACCACTGTCTAAGACGAATTCGAGAGGTGGTGATGGCGCGGAGTACTGGAATGACATTGTATTAATAGCATCAGCATACATGGAAGGATCACTAGGCATTGGAGATTGGAGGCTTTGTCCTACGAAGGCAGCTGAGGGAAATGGGGTAAAGCCTGGGGGATGGGAAGGGGAAGGAGGGGTAGGTTCGGTCACCTTGGGTGGGTCAGTGGGTGGAGTGGGAGGGGGAGGGGCCGGGGGTAGACGGGATAGGGGGGGTATTGTAAAGGGTACCAAGGGGTGGTGGGAGGGGGTTGGGGAAAACCAGGGGATACGAGGGGAGGGGGAAAAGGGGGGTACGGGGTGGGGGGGGTGTGTGGAGGAGGGATTTGGGGGGTGGGCAGGACCTGAGAGATAGAGGCTGATAGACCGGGGAGGTGCGTACATCATGAGGGGTGGGAAGGGGATGAAGGAGGTGCCAGCGGGGGGGGGTACCAGTGTTACCACGTTCAAACCATTCATCAGTAAGTGCCTTGAAGCAGGTGGCTGTGGTGTGAGTCGTTTGAAGACAGCGCTGGCCTTTGAGCGAGCCGTAGCGAATGAGATATTGACATGGGGAGAGGGTGCCGAGTCCGGAGGCACCACCGCGACCAGCACCACGGCCACCACCTTGGCGAGGAGTGGAGCGACCGCCTCCACCACGACCCCCACGTCCTGCACCGCGTCCTCCGCCAAAGCCGCTGCTAGGAGTGCCACGGCCACTTCCACCTCCACGCGCAAGAGCAGTCTTCCATGGACGCTCCAAACACATTGAACTCCGTCACTATTTCATTCGTGACCTCGTCAATGACGGTCACATCACGATCCGCAAGATTGACTCCTCTGCGAACCCTGCGGACATTTTCACCAAGGCACTCTCTCGCTCTGTGCACTCCTCGCTCCTTCCCCTGCTTGGGCTCGCTCCCCCCTCCTCCAGTGGCTGATTCAGGGTTGTGACTTCTTCCCAAGACTTTCTTGTCTTGTGCATGATAAGGGGTTGTGTTAGAATACTCCTATTCTTGTATCATGCCCAGATTCCATGTTAGAAAACTGAATGATGATATCATTAAGGAAAGGAGAGGTTTACATAGTTGGAGAAGGAGGGATGAGTTGGATGAGGGCCTTGTCACAATTATTGGCCCTCACCAATAAGTTGGGGTCACCAATTATTGGAGGGGCCAATAATTGTGGTAGAGGACCACAAATACTGAACCTCCAATAATGGGGAGCTCAATTATTGGGGGGTCACAATATTGGACCAAGGTTGGGTTGGCCCAACCCCTCAATTAGGGCAAACCCTGATTCTACACCCAAGCTAAGCTTGGATGCTTATATCTACCCAAGACTTATTAGTCTGAGCATGATACAAGAATAGGAGTATTCTAACAAGAACCCCTCTCCTACCACTCAAGAACCCCTCTCGTACCACTTGTTTTTTTCCCAGGTGTCCCTGTCAGAGGCGATCTTGGAGCCCATAGCAGCGCTGCTAGAAGCAGTCACGGAAAACACGTGGCGGGACATCAGGGCCGTGTTCTTGCACCAGCGGGACGCCTCTGATGCAGAGCACGCCGTGACGGGGTTCCACCTGGGGGACCACCAGCACACGCGCTTCACGCCTCCTCTTTCTCCTTACCTCTTGCCTCCTGCCCCTTCCTTCCCACCTCTTGCCCCCCCAGGCGTCCCTGTCAGATGCGATTTCAGAGCCAATAGCAGCGCTACTAGAAGCTGTGACGGACAACACGTGGCGGGACATCAGGGCCGTGTTCTTCCACCAGCTGGACGCCGCCTGCAGCGACGTGGAGCAGGCCGTGGCTGGGTTCCAGTTGGGGGAGGACGAGCAGGCGCGGCTGAAGGGAACGGTGGAGGCGGCGGGGCGGAAGGTGGTGGAGGAGCGCGTGAAGAGGGAGAGCCAGCATGCACTGTCGCTGATGAAAGACAGGTGCGCATTGATGGTGTAAGGACAGGTGGGTGGGGGCACGGAGGCCAGTCAAGTTTTGTTTTAGGCCAACTTCAATACGCTTGGCGCCAAATTATTGAACTAATTGACTCTTGTTTGACACTAGGCCGGGCACATGCTGGGATTTTGTGGGCGGGGGGAGGGGTGGGGTGGGCGAGGGGTGTGAAGAACAGGAGCTGGGGGCAGGTGCGTGGCATGTGGGAGAGAACCTTTGATTGTGAGGTTCGGGAGGAGAGGATGGGGCATGTAGCGGCACCATGCACCACCGCACACCATGCGTGTGCAATGGAGGACTCTGATTCAACCTTAATGGGCACATGCTGTGGGAGAGATCATAGCTGACTCCACCTCTCTCCACCGCTCCTCATTCCTCTCCCTGCCCCTGCAATGCACAGGTTGTCGCGGTCTCCTCTCAGGACGACCAGTGACTGCGGCGCAAAAACAACACTCCACCTCTCTCCACCGCTCTTCATCCCTCTCTTTGTCTTTCCAAATCACAGGTTCTTCGCAGTGTTCTCGCAGGACGACCAGGGTCTGCCGCGCAAGTGGACGGAGGGGGACGTCATCAAGGCCATCGCGTTCGACGCTCGCAAGGCGGTGAGGCAGAGAGGAATTCTAGCAAGTTAGAGGGAGGGGGACGGAGGGGAGGGAGGTGGTGAAGGGGGGGATGGTGGTGAGGGGGAGGGTGGTGCTGAACTGCCGAAACCCTGTACCCTCAATTGCTCTTGCCGAACAGCCTTGAACCACCTCCTCATCTCCCTTCCCCCGTTCCCTCCCTGCTTTCCCTTCCTTTTTCTCCCTTCCTTTTTCTCCCTTCCCTTTTCACTCTTCCCTCTTCTTCCTCTCACCTCTTTTCCGTCGTTCCCCCCTCCAACCCTCTTCCCCCCTCCCTCCCCCCCCTTCCATCAGGCACTGAGGCTGCTGGCGGTCGTGGCAGCCATGCGCCTGGACACTGTAGACGATTCCATTGAGCCCACGCTCTTGTCTCTCCGCCACCTCTCTCCCCGTTCCTCCCTTTCCCCTCCCCCGTGCCCCCTCCCCTGCTTTCCCCCCGGCAGGCGCTGAGACTGCTGGCAGTGGTGGCGGCCATGCGGCTGGACACTGTAGACGATTCCATCGAACCCACGCTCTTGTCTCTTCTGGGGGAGGGCGCTCCTGGGGAGGGCGGCGACTCGTCTCGGACCCAGGATGGGGAGTCGGGGGAGGGGGACGGGGAAGTAGAGGGGGAAGGGGAAGGGGAAGGGGAAGGGGAGGGGAAGGGGGGGAGCAGGCGAGTGCAGCGGGTGTTCACATCGGCAGGGCTGCTGGCGGCGAGCAAGTGGGAAAAGGTGGGACGGTGAATGGGAAGCGGGAGTGGATGACATGGCAGGGCTTGTTGCGTGTTAGCAGATGGGATGGGACACGGTGAGCATGGGAGTCAGTGTGAGGCTGCTGGGTTGCATTTGGTATCCCTTGGGAACTTCACCGCATCGCCCCACCTGTAAGCCATCCGTTCCTGTTCTCATGGGTACCCTTCCACTGCCAGAAATCAAACGAGTCTTCAGTGCGCCACATGGCACATGGCCTGATAACCAGAATCTTTCGTAACCATCTTTGCTCCCCAGCCCTGCTCAAATACCCCCCTTGCACACCTTCTCCCCCCCCTCCCCCGCCCGTCAGGTCGCCCCAGACTGTACGTTCCTGACGCCCGGGCAGTGCCGAGCGCTGTGGGGCAAGTTCAAGGCAGAGACACAATACGTGGTGGCGCAGGCCATGCAGACGCAGGTTGGTTGCGAGGCGAGAGGTAGAAATGATAGAGGGGTTGTGGTGTTAGAGGGGTTTGGGTGTACTTCTGTCCCACGACAGTGTTGATCATAATCAGTGCATGCATCGAACTCTGCCTCACCCAGTGTAAATGTTTCTCCTTGTCTCTCCTCCTGCCTTTCCCGTGTCCCACCCCTCACAGGAGGCGAGTCGGCGCAACAACGCGTGGCTGCCCCCCCCATGGGCCATTCTAGCGATGGTGGTGCTGGGGTGGAACGAGTTCATGGCTGTGCTCAGGTGGGGTGGAACGAGTTCATGGCTGTGCTCAGGTGGGGTGGAACGAGTTCATGGCTGTGCTCAGGTGGGGTGGAACGAGTTCATGGCTGTGCTCAGGTGGGGTGGAACGAGTTCATGGCTGTGCTCAGGTGGGGTGGAACGAGTTCATGGCTGTGCTCAGGTGGGGTGGAACGAGTTCATGGCTGTGCTCAGGTGGGGTGGAACGAGTTCATGGCTGTGCTCAGGTGGGGTGGAACGAGTTCATGGCTGTGCTCAGGTGGGGTGGAACGAGTTCATGGCTGTGCTCAGGTGGGGTGGAACGAGTTCATGGCTGTGCTCAGGTGGGGTGGAACGAGTTCATGGCTGTGCTCAGGTGGGGTGGAACGAGTTCATGGCTGTGCTCAGGTGGGGTGGAACGAGTTCATGGCTGTGCTCAGGTGGGGTGGAACGAGTTCATGGCTGTGCTCAGGTGGGGTGGAACGAGTTCATGGCTGTGCTCAGGTGGGGTGGAACGAGTTCATGGCTGTGCTCAGGTGGGGTGGAACGAGTTCATGGCTGTGCTCAGGTGGGGTGGAACGAGTTCATGGCTGTGCTCAGGTGGGGTGGAACGAGTTCATGGCTGTGCTCAGGTGGGGTGGAACGAGTTCATGGCTGTGCTCAGGTGGGGTGGAACGAGTTCATGGCTGTGCTCAGGTGGGGTGGAACGAGTTCATGGCTGTGCTCAGGTGGGGTGGAACGAGTTCATGGCTGTGCTCAGGTGGGGTGGAACGAGTTCATGGCTGTGCTCAGGTGGGGTGGAACGAGTTCATGGCTGTGCTCAGGTGGGGTGGAACGAGTTCATGGCTGTGCTCAGGTGGGGTGGAACGAGTTCATGGCTGTGCTCAGGTGGGGTGGAACGAGTTCATGGCTGTGCTCAGGTGGGGTGGAACGAGTTCATGGCTGTGCTCAGGTGGGGTGGAACGAGTTCATGGCTGTGCTCAGGTGGGGTGGAACGAGTTCATGGCTGTGCTCAGGTGGGGTGGAACGAGTTCATGGCTGTGCTCAGGTGGGGTGGAACGAGTTCATGGCTGTGCTCAGGTGGGGTGGAACGAGTTCATGGCTGTGCTCAGGTGGGGTGGAACGAGTTCATGGCTGTGCTCAGGTGGGGTGGAACGAGTTCATGGCTGTGCTCAGGTGGGGTGGAACGAGTTCATGGCTGTGCTCAGGTGGGGTGGAACGAGTTCATGGCTGTGCTCAGGTGGGGTGGAACGAGTTCATGGCTGTGCTCAGGTGGGGTGGAACGAGTTCATGGCTGTGCTCAGGTGGGGTGGAACGAGTTCATGGCTGTGCTCAGGTGGGGTGGAACGAGTTCATGGCTGTGCTCAGGTGGGGTGGAACGAGTTCATGGCTGTGCTCAGGTGGGGTGGAACGAGTTCATGGCTGTGCTCAGGTGGGGTGGAACGAGTTCATGGCTGTGCTCAGGTGGGGTGGAACGAGTTCATGGCTGTGCTCAGGTGGGGTGGAACGAGTTCATGGCTGTGCTCAGGTGGGGTGGAACGAGTTCATGGCTGTGCTCAGGTGGGGTGGAACGAGTTCATGGCTGTGCTCAGGTGGGGTGGAACGAGTTCATGGCTGTGCTCAGGTGGGGTGGAACGAGTTCATGGCTGTGCTCAGGTGGGGTGGAACGAGTTCATGGCTGTGCTCAGGTGGGGTGGAACGAGTTCATGGCTGTGCTCAGGTGGGGTGGAACGAGTTCATGGCTGTGCTCAGGTGGGGTGGAACGAGTTCATGGCTGTGCTCAGGTGGGGTGGAACGAGTTCATGGCTGTGCTCAGGTGGGGTGGAACGAGTTCATGGCTGTGCTCAGGTGGGGTGGAACGAGTTCATGGCTGTGCTCAGGTGGGGTGGAACGAGTTCATGGCTGTGCTCAGGTGGGGTGGAACGAGTTCATGGCTGTGCTCAGGTGGGGTGGAACGAGTTCATGGCTGTGCTCAGGTGGGGTGGAACGAGTTCACGGCTGTGCTCAGGTGGGGTGGAACGAGTTCATGGCTGTGCTCAGGTGGGGTGGAACGAGTTCACGGCTGTGCTCAGGTGGGGTGGAACGAGTTCACGGCTGTGCTCAGGTGGGGTGGAACGAGTTCACGGCTGTGCTCAGGTGGGGTGGAACGAGTTCACGGCTGTGCTCAGGTGGGGTGGAACGAGTTCACGGCTGTGCTCAGGTGGGGTGGAACGAGTTCACGGCTGTGCTCAGGTGGGGTGGAACGAGTTCATGGCTGTGCTCAGGTGGGGTGGAACGAGTTCATGGCTGTGCTCAGGTGGGGTGGAACGAGTTCATGGCTGTGCTCAGGTGGGGTGGAACGAGTTCATGGCTGTGCTCAGGTGGGGTGGAACGAGTTCATGGCTGTGCTCAGGTGGGGTGGAACGAGTTCATGGCTGTGCTCAGGTGGGGTGGAACGAGTTCATGGCTGTGCTCAGGTGGGGTGGAACGAGTTCATGGCTGTGCTCAGGTGGGGTGGAACGAGTTCATGGCTGTGCTCAGGTGGGGTGGAACGAGTTCATGGCTGTGCTCAGGTGGGGTGGAACGAGTTCATGGCTGTGCTCAGGTGGGGTGGAACGAGTTCATGGCTGTGCTCAGGTGGGGTGGAACGAGTTCATGGCTGTGCTCAGGTGGGGTGGAACGAGTTCATGGCTGTGCTCAGGTGGGGTGGAACGAGTTCATGGCTGTGCTCAGGTGGGGTGGAACGAGTTCATGGCTGTGCTCAGGTGGGGTGGAACGAGTTCATGGCTGTGCTCAGGTGGGGTGGAACGAGTTCATGGCTGTGCTCAGGTGGGGTGGAACGAGTTCATGGCTGTGCTCAGGTGGGGTGGAACGAGTTCATGGCTGTGCTCAGGTGGGGTGGAACGAGTTCATGGCTGTGCTCAGGTGGGGTGGAACGAGTTCATGGCTGTGCTCAGGTGGGGTGGAACGAGTTCATGGCTGTGCTCAGGTGGGGTGGAACGAGTTCATGGCTGTGCTCAGGTGGGGTGGAACGAGTTCATGGCTGTGCTCAGGTGGGGTGGAACGAGTTCATGGCTGTGCTCAGGTGGGGTGGAACGAGTTCATGGCTGTGCTCAGGTGGGGTGGAACGAGTTCATGGCTGTGCTCAGGTGGGGTGGAACGAGTTCATGGCTGTGCTCAGGTGGGGTGGAACGAGTTCATGGCTGTGCTCAGGTGGGGTGGAACGAGTTCATGGCTGTGCTCAGGTGGGGTGGAACGAGTTCATGGCTGTGCTCAGGTGGGGTGGAACGAGTTCATGGCTGTGCTCAGGTGGGGTGGAACGAGTTCATGGCTGTGCTCAGGTGGGGTGGAACGAGTTCATGGCTGTGCTCAGGTGGGGTGGAACGAGTTCATGGCTGTGCTCAGGTGGGGTGGAACGAGTTCATGGCTGTGCTCAGGTGGGGCGGAACGAGTTCATGGCTGTGCTCAGGTGGGGTGGAACGAGTTCATGGCTGTGCTCAGGTGGGGTGGAACGAGTTCATGGCTGTGCTCAGGTGGGGTGGAACGAGTTCATGGCTGTGCTCAGGTGGGGTGGAACGAGTTCATGGCTGTGCTCAGGTGGGGTGGAACGAGTTCATGGCTGTGCTCAGGTGGGGTGGAACGAGTTCATGGCTGTGCTCAGGTGGGGTGGAACGAGTTCATGGCTGTGCTCAGGTGGGGTGGAACGAGTTCACGGCTGTGCTCAGGTGGGGTGGAACGAGTTCACGGCTGTGCTCAGGTGGGGTGGAACGAGTTCACGGCTGTGCTCAGGTGGGGTGGAACGAGTTCACGGCTGTGCTCAGGTGGGGTGGAACGAGTTCACGGCTGTGCTCAGGTGGGGTGGAACGAGTTCACGGCTGTGCTCATTTGGGGTGGAACGAGTTCACGGCTGTGCTCAGGTGGGGTGGAACGAGTTCATGGCTGTGCTCAGGTGGGGTGGAACGAGTTCACGGCTGTGCTCAGGTGGGGTGGAACGAGTTCATGGCTGTGCTCAGGTGGGGTGGAACGAGTTCATGGCTGTGCTCAGGTGGGGTGGAACGAGTTCATGGCTGTGCTCAGGTGGGGTGGAACGAGTTCACGGCTGTGCTCAGGTGGGGTGGAACGAGTTCACGGCTGTGCTCAGGTGGGGTGGAACGAGTTCACGGCTGTGCTCAGGTGGGGTGGAACGAGTTCACGGCTGTGCTCAGGTGGGGTGGAACGAGTTCACGGCTGTGCTCAGGTGGGGTGGAACGAGTTCATGGCTGTGCTCAGGTGGGGTGGAACGAGTTCACGGCTGTGCTCAGGTGGGGTGGAACGAGTTCATGGCTGTGCTCAGGTGGGGAGGAACGAGTTCATGGCTGTGCTCAGGTGGGGTGGAACGAGTTCATGGCTGTGCTCAGGTGGGGTGGAACGAGTTCATGGCTGTGCTCAGGTGGGGTGGAACGAGTTCATGGCTGTGCTCAGGTGGGGTGGAACGAGTTCATGGCTGTGCTCAGGTGGGGTGGAACGAGTTCATGGCTGTGCTCAGGTGGGGTGGAACGAGTTCATGGCTGTGCTCAGGTGGGGTGGAACGAGTTCATGGCTGTGCTCAGGTGGGGTGGAACGAGTTCATGGCTGTGCTCAGGTGGGGTGGAACGAGTTCATGGCTGTGCTCAGGTGGGGTGGAACGAGTTCATGGCTGTGCTCAGGTGGGGTGGAACGAGTTCATGGCTGTGCTCAGGTGGGGTGGAACGAGTTCATGGCTGTGCTCAGGTGGGGTGGAACGAGTTCATGGCTGTGCTCAGGTGGGGTGGAACGAGTTCATGGCTGTGCTCAGGTGGGGTGGAACGAGTTCATGGCTGTGCTCAGGTGGGGTGGAACGAGTTCACGGCTGTGCTCAGGTGGGGTGGAACGAGTTCACGGCTGTGCTCAGGTGGGGTGGAACGAGTTCACGGCTGTGCTCAGGTGGGGTGGAACGAGTTCACGGCTGTGCTCAGGTGGGGTGGAACGAGTTCATGGCTGTGCTCAGGTGGGGTGGAACGAGTTCATGGCTGTGCTCAGGTGGGGTGGAACGAGTTCATGACTGTGCTCAGGTGGGGTGGAACGAGTTCATGGCTGTGCTCAGGTGGGGTGGAACGAGTTCATGGCTGTGCTCAGGTGGGGTGGAACGAGTTCATGGCTGTGCTCAGGTGGGGTGGAACGAGTTCATGACTGTGCTCAGGTGGGGTGGAACGAGTTCATGGCTGTGCTCAGGTGGGGTGGAACGAGTTCATGGCTGTGCTCAGGTGGGGTGGAACGAGTTCATGGCTGTGCTCAGGTGGGGTGGAACGAGTTCATGGCTGTGCTCAGGTGGGGTGGAACGAGTTCATGGCTGTGCTCAGGTGGGGTGGAACGAGTTCATGGCTGTGCTCAGGTGGGGTGGAACGAGTTCATGGCTGTGCTCAGGTGGGGTGGAACGAGTTCATGGCTGTGCTCAGGTGGGGTGGAACGAGTTCATGGCTGTGCTCAGGTGGGGTGGAACGAGTTCATGGCTGTGCTCAGGTGGGGTGGAACGAGTTCATGGCTGTGCTCAGGTGGGGTGGAACGAGTTCATGGCTGTGCTCAGGTGGGGTGGAACGAGTTCATGGCTGTGCTCAGGTGGGGTGGAACGAGTTCATGGCTGTGCTCAGGTGGGGTGGAACGAGTTCATGGCTGTGCTCAGGTGGGGTGGAACGAGTTCATGGCTGTGCTCAGGTGGGGTGGAACGAGTTCATGGCTGTGCTCAGGTGGGGTGGAACGAGTTCATGGCTGTGCTCAGGTGGGATGCAACGAGTTCATGGCTGTGCTCAGGTGGGATGCAACGAGTTCATGGCTGTGCTCAGGTGGGGTGGAACGAGTTCATGGCTGTGCTCAGGTGGGGTGGAACGAGTTCATGGCTGTGCTCAGGTGGGGTGGAACGAGTTCATGGCTGTGCTCAGGTGGGGTGGAACGAGTTCATGGCTGTGCTCAGGTGGGGTGGAACGAGTTCATGGCTGTGCTCAGGTGGGGTGGAACGAGTTCATGGCTGTGCTCAGGTGGGGTGGAACGAGTTCATGGCTGTGCTCAGGTGGGGTGGAACGAGTTCATGGCTGTGCTCAGGTGGGGTGGAACGAGTTCATGGCTGTGCTCAGGTGGGGTGGAACGAGTTCACGGCTGTGCTCAGGTGGGGTGGAACGAGTTCACGGCTGTGCTCAGGTGGGGTGGAACGAGTTCACGGCTGTGCTCAGGTGGGGTGGAACGAGTTCATGGCTGTGCTCAGGTGGGGTGGAACGAGTTCATGGCTGTGCTCAGGTGGGGTGGAACGAGTTCATGGCTGTGCTCAGGTGGGGTGGAACGAGTTCATGGCTGTGCTCAGGTGGGGTGGAACGAGTTCATGGCTGTGCTCAGGTGGGGTGGAACGAGTTCATGGCTGTGCTCAGGTGGGGTGGAACGAGTTCATGGCTGTGCTCAGGTGGGGTGGAACGAGTTCATGGCTGTGCTCAGGTGGGGTGGAACGAGTTCATGGCTGTGCTCAGGTGGGGTGGAACGAGTTCATGGCTGTGCTCAGGTGGGGTGGAACGAGTTCATGGCTGTGCTCAGGTGGGGTGGAACGAGTTCACGGCTGTGCTCAGGTGGGGTGGAACGAGTTCACGGCTGTGCTCAGGTGGGGTGGAACGAGTTCACGGCTGTGCTCAGGTGGGGTGGAACGAGTTCACGGCTGTGCTCAGGTGGGGTGGAACGAGTTCATGGCTGTGCTCAGGTGGGGTGGAACGAGTTCATGGCTGTGCTCAGGTGGGGTGGAACGAGTTCATGGCTGTGCTCAGGTGGGGTGGAACGAGTTCATGGCTGTGCTCAGGTGGGGTGGAACGAGTTCATGGCTGTGCTCAGGTGGGGTGGAACGAGTTCATGGCTGTGCTCAGGTGGGGTGGAACGAGTTCATGGCTGTGCTCAGGTGGGGTGGAACGAGTTCATGGCTGTGCTCAGGTGGGGTGGAACGAGTTCATGGCTGTGCTCAGGTGGGGTGGAACGAGTTCATGACTGTGCTCAGATGGGAATGCTTTTCGTTGTTGCAGTGTGCTTCACCTATCGCATGGCCATACACGTGTTTGACCATCAGCAGTTGCGTGCTGGTAGAAGCCTGTTCGATCGCAGCCAGCCACGCTAAAACATCTGAATTAACACGGCCAAGAAGGCCTTCATCATTGCAGTGACCACGTTTGCTCAGATCGATGGCTTTGCCCAAACCTCCCCCTCCCTCCCCCCTTTCTTCCCCTTACGTGCCCCCTCCCGTCCTTCATTCCCTGCTGGCTGCTTCTCTCCGCATGCCTCCCTTCTTCTCCTCCCGGCATACCTATCGCAGGAACCCCGTGCTGCTGTTGCTGGGGGTGTTTGTCTTCTTCATCGGCCGCGAAGTCATGTCTCAGCTGGACCTGGGAGGCATCTTCGACAACGGCCTGGTGAGCTGCTTCCTCCCGCTATAGGCCAGCGCCCCGCTATCTCTCTCCCTTTTCCTCACTCTCAGGCCACTTGCTCTTGTCACTCTCAGGCCACTTGCTCTTGTCACTCTCAGGCCACTTGCTCTTGTCACTCTCTCTACCTGAGCCGGTTCAGTTACCTGCATCACTCTGTGAGCCTTATGAGGTGTTACAAAGAAGGTGCCGTGAGAGGTCGCAGCAGGTGGCATCGATGACGCTGAGCTTCAAGCTCCTCTCTGCCGCTCATGGGCTGGAAAGGGTGTTTTCGAGCCCCCTTTCCAGCTCAAGGCTGCAATCATGCTCGTCTGCACTGCGTGGGGCATGTTGCAGCATTGCATTTCCACTTAAACTTTCTTTCTTGCCAGCTCAATCCCCACCTCCGTGCCGCCATGGTTTGGAGTGCAAACAGAGAGACAATGCCTAAGAGCCCCTCGCTTTCACTGCCAACCGAATGTCTTGCACTCCTCCCTCCCCCCCCTTTCTCTAAGCAGGTACCTGGTCTCATCACCCTGGCAGCGCGAGCAGGCCCCATAATCATCGCCGTGCTGCGGCGGCTGGGCGAGCAGGCAGAGGCGGCTCTGAGCGCACACAACGCCCCCGTGCCGGGGCCACTGCGCCCCAACTGGCGCAGCGAGGGGGACGACGATGGGGGTGATGTGGCGATGCGGGATTTCAGCGCGGGGAGCAGTGGGGAGGGGGGGCTGAGGCAACGAGGGAGCAGGCGGGAGGGAGAGGGCACGTGAGGAGTGGAAGGGTGAGCTTCTGACTCCAGTTGTTTGGCAATATTGTTGAATGTGGGGAGGAGAGAGAGATGCAATGAGGAGCATGCGGCGGTGGTTGAAGGTGGAAGGCAGTTGTGAGGGGATAGCGGTACAGATGCAGCGAGCAGTGGGGGGCCAAGGCGAAGGGGCCAAGACAAGCGGGGGCTGGGTGCAGGTGGCATGGCAGGGGAGAGATGAAGGGGTGGTGCAGAGATGGTGGTGGTTCTGTGCGGTAGAGGATGGTAGTGTTGCCGTTACACTGAGCAAGCAATGACTCATGATTGAACTGCCTGTTCACTAACTTCTGATTAGTCAACGATATGGATGTTGGAAACAAGTAATCCCTAAAACGCCTCTGTCGTGTCGAAACATCACACCAGAAGCGAAGCGAGTCATATCGAGGCACGAACGAGTCAACCCTCGGAGGTTGAAAGAGGTTGCCGGAGGTTACGCGAAAGTCAAAGGTCAGCGACCTTTGACCTGACAAGTACAGTACGACAGCAAGGACACACAACCGACTCGTTACAGAGCGGTTGCCCGAGTCGTTACTGTATCGAACCGCAACAGCAACAGTAAAGTAGTTACAACTGCATCCTTTCATATTCCTTGTACTCATATATAAACACTTGTATTCCCTTGCTTTAATCAACTTACTTTGCTCTCACACACCAGTGCAAGGTGGTTCACAAGTCTTCATTAAACGCTTCCGCTATTACAATAGTCCTACCCCGAATTTACCCCTGCAAAAGATCCTAAGGGCCTTTTCTCAGCCCAACATGGTATGAGAGCCATCAGGGAAAATTCAACTATTACCAAGACACCAACAGACGACATGGCAACATACAAGGAAAGGAGTTCCTCCAATGGTTCTCCCGGGACCACTCCTACCCCACCTCCTGCCTCTGGCCTGCAGACAGAGGAAGGAACTGCAACGGGACCAGCAGCGCCTTCAGCCAGCCAACCTGCCAGCTTCGACCAGAGTATGATGGAGAAATTTTTCTCCTTCATGTCGTTTTACGAGCAACACCAGCAGTCGGCACCTGCGCAGTCAAACAACAGCAACAACAACAACGTGACTCCAATGAGTCTTGATGGTTCATCATATGCGCGCGGGAATCAGCAACAACCTACCTTCGCTCCGTACGAACGCGGGTCCATCAGCTTCATGCCGCACCCGCAAGCTCCATCTGGACAAGAAAAACAACTGGATGTACTACAAGTCCAGTCGCAATTCGCGCACGTCTTGAAGCTGCAGACGTCAAGGCCCTTCGACGGGAAAGACTTCTTTACCTGGTCGTTCGAATTCGAGCTGATGATGGAAGGCGCGCAGATACTTGGCTTCTTCGACGGGTCCCTGCCATACCCAACAAACGGCACACAGTATGAGAAGCAGCAGTACACATATCAGTCGATGATGGCGTACACGATCCTGCTGAGAAATATCACCCCAACTCAGCAGCAGAACATACGGTCTTACCGGGGATTCGGCAACTCCGCGGAACTCGCGTACAAGCACCTCAAGGACCTGTATCAAGCAACAGACAGCGTCAGTCAAAGTCGGCTAATGGCGCAACTGACAACAGCTGAAATGAAACCAGGCGAAAAAGGGATGGCATATGTCAGCCGATGTCGCGAACTGCGCGACAAGCTTCTTCGATGCGGAGGGTCGATCTCTGAAGACGCCTTCGTGACAGTCATCATCGGCGGCCTCGGTCCTCAATGGCGCGCAACAAAGGCCATTCTCCGAGCCCACGGAAGAATCTCTGAAGCAGCGCTCTGCGCCGAAATACATGCTGAGCAACAAGACATGGACCTGCAAGAAGAACGACACAAGAGAAAGACATCAGTACCGGAATTCGCGTTCCACACTCAGCGACGCTACAACAACAACAACAACCGACAACAACCAAAACCCGTACCTCCGTTCTGCCATATCTGCAAGACGTCAGGGCACCCGCGCACACACTGCCCGAATCGACAACAGTCAACGCCACAACAGCGACAGCTTCGACCTTCAAGCAACCAAGTTGCTTCAACGCAAGCGAATCCTACGACCCAGGTTCAAGCTTCAACACCATCAGCGGGACAACCTGCACAAGGCGCAAGAAACATCGTCAGTTGTATGGCAAAACTGACCGACTCCTGCATCACCGAATCACCACCTCATTACTCACCGGAAGAACAGCTTGACAACAGCACGCCCCGCCGCGAGTTACTGCAGCCGAACCCGACATACGCCGCTATCGCCCAGAGTGAGCCATCCGGGAAAGACACATGGTTCTTGGACAGTTGCTGCGGACAACACATGTGCTCTTCAGGACGCTTCGTACAATGAGAATATCAACTCCAACGAGAAGTAGTCATCACCGTCGCCAACAACCAGAACCTGCGCACACGACGACAAGGCGTGGTACAACTTCAGTCACGAGAAACAAGTGTCATTCTACAAATGACCAAGGTCTTAATCGCAGAAGGTCTCGGCTACAACTTACTAAGCGTCAGTCAGTTGATGGCGAAAGGCATCCACCTCGAAGCAAACAGCACCACCCAGGAATTCCGGCTGTTCCACGGAAAGGGCGGCCTCTACATCGGAAAGGCAATCCTCAAGAACAACGTCTTCGTTCTTGACTTCGTACCAGACCTTGGCACCGCTGACAGCGACGGCATCGTCAGCTTTGCTCCTTGGACACATCCTCCAGATCTTGACCCAGACTTCAGCCCCGGCGGCTTCTGGCACTCACACACCATTCCTGAAGCAGAGAGAACAAGGGCGTTAGCAACAATTCAACAAACATCGACAGCAGCAGAGACAACATCGGCAGCAGCAGAGACAACGTCGGCAGCAGCAGAGACAACATCAGCAGCAGCAGAAACAACATCAGCAGCAGCAGCGACAACATCGACACCAATCGCTGGTCCTTCAACGGCACCAATCTTCATCGACGATTCGCCACCGACACCCGCACAACAGTTAAAACCGGCACCACGAGAAGTCCACCGAAGCACCAACGTCACTGCCGGCTTCTACTCCAACTCGGATCTGTATCGACGGTCACCCGGACACCGCGCCACTGAAGGAACCTGGCACGCAAGAATGGGACATCCAAGCAACACAGTGTTAAATAACACGATAAGAGCAGGAGTGCTCGACAAAGACTCACTTCTACTGACCGACGGCAGAGAACTTCAACGAGCACGTGGAACGTGCTTCACTTGCCCTGAAGCTGACTTACCGCATCAGCCGTTCGTCTCGCATCACAATCCAAGCGCACCTGCGTACACACCTCTCGAAAAGGTGTACAGCGACATCTTATACAACCGTGAACCCGGACAAAACGCCTACAGCTACACCATCACCTTCATCGACGCCGCAACTCGATATGTCTGGCACCTAAACCTTCCAAGTCGCGACATGGCTTTCGAAGCCTTTGTCGCCTGGCTTCCAGTCGCAGAACGAGAATCGGGAGCTAAGCTAAAAAGCTTTCAGTCAGACGGGGGAGGAGAATACACCTCACAGAGGTTCAAGCAGTACTTGGCAGAAAGAGGAATCAAGAGGCTCATCTCCCTTCCCTACGCTCACCAACAGCAAGGCGTAGCAGAAAGGATGAACAGGACGCTGCAAGCCACCATGCGCAAGCTGCTACGTGGCATGCACCTGCCCAACCACCAGTGGCCCGAAGCGATGGACCACGCCGTAATGCTGCACAACTTGCTTTCGTCATCATCGCTCCCGAACAACGCATCACCGCATCTGCTGTGGACAGGGAAATTGGGCAGCACAAAAATGTTACGAGTCTTCGGCTGCATGGTACAGTACCGACCTCCATCTGCACGAGCTGGGCGATTCTCTCAACGCGCACAGTGGGGACTACACCTGGGCATCGCAAAACATTACAACGCGTGGAAAATCTTCGACATCAACAGCAAGGAAACAGTAGCAGCACGTGATGTCATTTTCTACGAACACCTCACCCTCGGAACTCACCTCATGTACATCGAAGAAAACAGACCTGACCTCTCGGGCGGATTTCATGGGCACCGAGCCTTTGCCTCGGCAGAAGACGAAGCTGACCTGGATGAGCAGAACGTGGAAGGAGCCTCGGAAGCAGCCGGACCTCTCCCTTACTGCTCCGTGGACATCCCAATGGACGACGACAATCCTCGCGAAAGCGTCAACGCCGAAGTCTTCTACGAATTCGCCGACAACGGTTACGTTACACCTGCACGGGTCAACACCAACGAAGCAGAACGAGTAGGACCGAATTTCAATCCAACACCTGAAACAGGAGACGAAGCTGTTTATCCCGAGGATACCACACTCCCCCGCTACTCACAGAGTGGTCTGCAAATTCTCGGCCTTGTCACCGCAGTCCACGGCTCAACCATTCCTAAAGAGCCTGCGACTGTTCAACAGGCTCTGGGGGGGGAACACAAGGAGAAATGGCGTGAAGCCATGGACAGAGAATTAAAAGCGCTGGAGGAACGGAACACCTGGAAAGTCGTTCCCATCAGCGTGGCAAGAAACAAGACCATTCTCACCGGGAAATGGGTCTTCCGCGTAAAGACGAAAGCTGACGGCACCATCGACAAGTTCAAAGCACGATGGGTCGTGCGCGGCTTCGACCAAGAACAAGGACGGGACTTCACCGAGACATTCGCCCCGGTTAGCCGACACACCTCACTCCGAATTCTTCTCGCGATCGCCGCCATGAAAAGGAAGAAGCTGCGGCAAATCGACGTCGCGAACGCCTTCCTCTACGCACCCGTTGACGCAGAGATCTTCGTGGAACTACCGCACAGCACCAACGGAGAGCCGAACAAAGTCTGTCAACTACTGAAATCGCTCTACGGGATTAAGCAAGCCCCGCGGCTATGGCAGCAGTATCTACACGCCCGTCTCATCCGCATTGGATTCAAGCAACTGCCCTACGATCAAGGGATGTACCGGCTTACGAAGAACAACGACTACGTCTTACTAATCG